CGAATGTTTTAGTGGCAGTAAAAATAAGTATATAGTGATTCCCTGCAAGGAGAATGAAGACAAGTTAAATACTAATTAATTTCTGGTTGAGTTAGTAATTTCAAGTCGCGCTGCAGGCATTTTAATATTTATTTTTATTTATTTTTTTTTTAGGTGAAGAAAAAGTTCAACTTAAATGAACTAGTATTAAGCTGGTGCATAGTTGCTTACTTTGGAAAGAGCTGTAAGAAAAATTAGTTATTGCAAAAATCCAAACTAGTACAGGGAAAGATAGACTAGCATGTAAAAATTTTAGTAGAACTAGAATTATACTTTAATTTTTCGGTAAAACCTGGACTAGGTTACAAAAAAATTTATTATTTGAACTAGTATTTTGCGGATTCATGAATAACCAGAAGCTCCGACCATTTATTACTATCATATTTCCGGTACAACAACAAAACAATCACATGTTATTGTGTATTTTATGTATTGTTAAATTGCAAAAAAAAAATATGAACAGTCCTTTTTAAAGTACAAATACATAGATCGATATCTAATCCACTTCCCAGAATGTAATAATGCATTAAATACCAAGTAAAGTGAACAATAAGTGCGTGTTTTGAATAACTTCGTCTCTAGACAACTTCCCGTGGAAGGAGCTCTTCTAACCCATTCTCAAATCTGCCTGAACACACAAAAAAGGCATTAAAATCGGTTCAACCAATACTGAAATCAATCGAACGGGTTTTTGGCTATTACGAAGTCGATTGACCTGAGGCAAATAAGTTTTCAACTGCTATGAGCGAACCAATATTTTAACAAGTATATAAGAAGTGGTATATAACTAGTATGAAACCGATGCATAAATATACAATCGATGATTCGTAGGAAATCGTCATTTCAAAAAAAAAATCAGTTGCTGACATGGAAAATGGATGGCAGCAGAACTAGTTGATGTAAAAATGTAGATTGGTTGGCTTCCAGTTAACAACTAATATTTTTCCCTGCAAGGTACAGCTGATGCCTGTGTATATGTGTTAGCATCAGAGGCGAGTTAAAACTGTTGGGATTTTCTTTAAAATACATTGCAGTTGCGTCCATTGCTCAATCTTTTGCCTATTTAACGGTAATATATGTATATGTATGCGCGAAATGAAAGGCGCATTCCAGTCGACATACAATAAAATGCCTATAAATCAATACTTTTAAATGTATGTTTATCAATTCCTGCGCAATAAATGCAATTTCAAATATTCTGCCAACAAAACAAAAAAAAAAAAAGAATTAAAAATACTCAACTCACTTTTCACGAGACAAAATCTCCAAAAATACCACTGTTGTTGTGAAATTCGCTTTTTGTTGTACTGTTATGATGCACAGCAAGCGATTGATAGCCCGCTGCTGACTATCGTTTGGTACAAGTGTACGCGCCTTGCCACCACAAACTATTGCGTGAGCTGCGTAGTTGTAGTGTGCCACACTCAGATACACACCCACAAACATACACCCCCAATATCGCACTTTTAGCATACGCACGATTTTCATATTGTGCGTCGCAAATGAGTATTCCTAATTTATGAAATGGCTCTTTTCATATGTGCCATAGCTGCAAACATACATGCATACATTCATACATGCATAGATGCAAGGACACATTCACTATATTGCGTTGAATTGTAGTGTTGCTGTTGCTGTGTTTGTTGTTGCTACATAGCGCCATGCATCTATACGCTCTATAATTTTGAGGCAATTATGGAAATTGAAGCGTTTGCATACAATATGCCATCATTTAGAAAGCGAATTGGCGCATAGGATAACAGTACAAGTGTATATGTACAAATGTTCATACTCATTTGCGGGTATGTATGTACAACACATATCCAAGTGTAGGCAAAAGGTGCACGCGCGACGCAAATGGCATGCGGCATTTTGTAAATGAGGAATTGTAGGTACAATTGGCGTTCAGTTGGTAGATATATATACAGCTACACATATACATGCATGTACATGTGTGTGCGCAATATGTCTGTAATAATGCAAACGGTATGAGAATAGCGGAAATGTGGCATCGTTTATACAATTGAAGTTGGCTATAATTTATGTGCAAATGACATATAACATCACACATAGATGCATATTTGCTGATATTTACTATGTATGTATGTATGTATGTATGTATTTATGATTTAGAGTGATGGCAACATGGTGATGAAAGTTTCTCATTAAACAAGTATAGTAAATATGTAAATAAAACTGTGTGCATTTCTTAGCTTTAAAAGAGCTAAAATTCCCTTTTCACCTAATTTTTTCTCTAGAGATCGGGCCTATCAGGCTAACACCCTTGTCCTATAAGCTCCATCTCTAGAGAAAAAATTAGGTGAAAAGGGAATTTTAGCTTTTTTAAAACAAAGAAATGCACACAGTTTTAAGAGATCAATATTTTTTCTGTATTAAAAATTATAACAAAATTTATACAGAGAAGATGTAAGCTTTTGGTTTCTTGGTAATTAATAAAAAAAAAATATAAATTAAAAGTTAATTAAAATTTTTAATTTAAAAAATTTACGGACTTTTAGGTATTAAAGCCATTCCATATTGCCTTGATTCATCTTCCTGCTGTTCCCCAGAATTCCCTAGTGATCTGTAACTCGTTAGGTATGTAGTGGCCAAGGTATACCAGAGAATATTTTCTATCGTCTGATTCTTGATTATGGCAAGCTATACAATTAACACGTTTCTGCCAGCCTTAAGAGTTGAATGAAGTTCAAATCAGCGAAGATCACCGAAGATCATCATCCTTAGACTTAATTGCCTGTTAGCGGGCAAGTCATGTGGTACAAAAAATATTCTATTATCTTCTTTATTTTAAAGAGCTTAATCTGTAAGTTGGCTGGAGGTGCCTACAAAGGGGAAAGTCAAGACCTGTAAGTGTAAAGAAACTCATCAGCGAATCACAAGTAACTTAGAATAAAGTAGAAGTCACTCCATGGAAAATATCAAAATAGAAAAGCTTGGCTGAAAGCTGCATCTGCGGTGATAAATATCCAATTTTTACTTACTTACTTACTTTACTGGTGTACACACCGCTTACGCGATTATAGCCGATTTAACAACACTGCGTAATTCGTTTCTTCATTTTACTGCCTGACTCCATTTGAAAATACCGAGTGAAGCTAGGTAACTGTCCACCTGATCCTTACAACGGAGTGGAGGCCTTTCTCTTCATCTGTTTCCCCCGCGGGTACTCCAGCGCACACTTTCAAAGCTGGAGTATTCCTATCCATCCGCATAACCTAGCCAGGGTAGCCGCTGCTTCTTTATCTCTGAACTATATGAATGCCGCCGTATAACTCGTACAGCTCATCGTTCCATCGTCTGCGGTGTTCGCCGTTGCCAACGCGCAAAAGACCATAAGTCTTACGCAAAACCTTTCTCTCGAAAACTCCTAGCGCCGACTCATCAGATATTGTCATCGTCCATGGTTCCGCACCACATAGTTGGACGGGAACGATGAGGGACTTGTAGAATTTGGTTTTCGCTCGTTGAGGAAGGACTTTACTTTTCAATTGCCTAAGGAGGTCTGTCTAACGTTTCAAGATTTAGAGAGAGTAAATGTTTGAAGGCCATATTGTTAATTCCATTGCATTCTGATACAAAGGTTTCTATGCCTGTGATGTATGTTAATTTTATGAGAATTTATATTTCAGTTGTCCCGAGACTACTATCTCCTTTAGAAAAAATCAAATCGGAATTCGGCTGAACATCGCGAAAAACTAACAAGTATTTTCTTAAGAACTAACTATCTATCTGTTTAATTGTATCAGCTGTACAACTTTGCTTCGGCCGTTTTGTGATAGGTGGCTGTACCGGCTGAGGCTGGTTGAAATACATAGACGATAAAGTCTTTAAAGTAGTGTGGACAGTGCCTAATGAATTGTCATCGCCGTTTCAGTGACAGTTGTTATTGTTTTCGTATTATTCACGCTCGAAATGTGCCTGATTCTCGCCATTTGCGGGAAGTTTTTCTTTTCTGTTACAATTCGAAAAAAATGCAGCTGAAGCGCATCGAATGCTCTCAGAAACGTACGGTGATGCTGCTCTGAGTGTAAGAACGTGTCGGGAGTGGTTTCAACGTTTTAAAAATGGTGATTTACTACGAGCTCTTAAATCCGGGTGAAACAATCACAGGAGATCGCTACCGAATGCAACTGATGCGCGTTAGTCGCGCGTTGAAAGAAAACGGCCACAATATCAAGAGCGACATGACAAAGTCATACTCCAACAACATCGGCCTCACGTCGCAAAAGTGGTCAAAAAGTACCCGGGAAGTCTAACCCCACCTGCCGTATTCCCCAGATGTCGCCCCTTCTGACTTCCACCTATTCCGTTCCATGACACACGGCCTGGCAGATGAAAATTTTCAATCCTTCGAAGAATTGGAAAAATGGATTGCTTCATGGATAGCGTCAAAAGAGGACTCCTTTTTTCGAGCCAGGATCCAAAAATTGCCAGAAAGATGGGAGAAAGTTGTCTCTAGCGAAGGCCAATACCTTTAATAATATATCTGTAAGCTTTTTTTCGCAAAAAAGCTTTTAATTTTGGAAAAAACGGCAGAAGCAAAGTTGTACACCTGATATTTGATATTTTTTGCGGATTTTAGATGCTGAAGATGAGTTCGTATGGCATAATAAATTTTTAAATTATAAAAAACTGCAAACCAGCAAAATATTCTAGTACCCATTAAAAAAAACCCTCCACTTCCGCTCATTTATAAACGTTAAAAAATTCCACTTCAACTCACCTTCCGCTCGTTCAGTTTCTAACCGCAGTTCACATTAATTGTACCTCTTAATTTTTATTGCCCCACTTCCGTAACTTAACAATTGCTCATTTATTTATTTTCATGCACGCACACATACGTGTGTTTGTAAATATTTACAAGTACTGACTAACCACTTTTATTGTGTCTGACTTACTTCATGTTAAATATGTATTTTTCTCTTTTGCTTTTTTTTCAGAAATACACTGGTAAATGTACATGCAACGCGTCTGATATCCTAGAAGCAATCAAAGATAATGAAATATTACGTGAAACAATACGCGGACCACCCGGTTTGCCGGGTAAGGAGGGAAAGACTGGTGCGCCTGGACTCACGGTAAGTGTTGCCATAAATATATATGTATGTACATATACACACTTTTATATACTCATATAATACATACATATTTATATGTATGGAATATGTATGTTCCAATAGTATGGAATTCAACCGCATGTATATTTGTATGTATATATGAATATGAAAAGCAGTTGCTTGCGCAGCATATTCAATTCAACTCCGCATCGCTGTTGAGCAATCATGCGGCGCGCTGCAACAGCACAACTCAATCAATTCAACGATATGCCACCGTGTGCAATCGGAAGTGTATGTGCATATGTTTGTATGGATCTAAATAGCTATCGTATGTATGTGTAGACATATTTCTGCACTTAAAAGTGTTTATACATATGTACATATATAAAATATTTTTTATTTACTTCCACATAAAGTGGAAATGTGCAGTAATGCAGACGAACACTCGCGCATATGTTCACACTCCAATACGTACATATATATATTGTATATGCATATATACATAAATGGTATGTTTGTGCTCTGATGTGAATGCAGGTGCATTTCCACTGCAACTGTATAGTTAGTACATATCTACATCACTTTAACCACTTATACCAACACAAACGTGCGGAAGGAAATTCATATGAATTTTTGAAACTGCTTTCATACACACACACACACACATACACATGTCGATTGCAGGAAGCCTTGCGCAAATAAATCATTAGTGGTTAATTGATTGGAATGGGAAGTGATTGTTGTTATTCAATGCTCACCGTGCGTGCAGGTGAAGGGTGCGTAACAAAAGCGAAAATAAATTGTTTATATTTACAATAAATGAGGTGCTTGTTGTTGTCAAAGAAGCTGTGCACGGTAATTAAATTTAAAAACTTTAGCTGCATCACCTATGCTGCGGCAGACATTCCGGATGAGGAAGTGTCGTAAGTAACTGCAAGCATACGTCTGATAGATAAGGCAGAGTTACGGCGTAGAAGCGTGATGTGTTTTAATTTTTATGACTTTCTGAATATGCATATATGTAATATGCCATTAAACTTGACATACACTTCGATTTTATGTATTCGAAATAATTTTAATAAGCATTTTTGAAACAACTAATACTGCAAAGATTTGGGAGCTGCGATAATCAACATGCAAGAAGCTGTAAGTTACGCGAGTCTTAATGGAGCCACCTCAACATATTTGGTTTACCTAGTTGAGAGCGCAGGTTGAAGACCTGATCGCAAGCGACTGCACTGAAGCCATAGAGTAAGCTCATTGTGCTCCCCGCATAACCTAACTAACATTTCATGCGATTTAAAAAACTGGTTTCGGTTTCGATTTCTCCAAATATACTGGGTGTAGTAAATAGAAATCCATTAATTTTCCAATAGTTGACGTTACTTATCTGTATATCAAGTGGTATAAGTCCGCTCGGGTTTCGCTGGATGGCGTTAGAGAGATGACATCATTTCGTACTAAAAAGACTTTACCGAGAGTTTTGTGATTGACTGACTCAGTTTTTCTTGATCCTGCATCATAGATGGCCAATAGATAAGAGAAAATACGCTATATTTTACATTTCGTCTTCAATGAGAACGATACGGTTACATTCCATTATGCACAATTTAAGTTTCATTCCGGTAGTTGTGAAGTAAAAGATGTTTCGCAGAATGGGAGGTATATTGCCGAATGTGTCGATAAAATCATGGACATTGTCAAGTCCGACCGTCATGTAAGCACTGCTTCGATTGCCAAGGCGCTAAAGCTTGCACAAAAATACAATTGGGACCAATCCATTTGGGTCTTCAATTTCATGCAAATATAATGGACTTATTTTTACTACTACCAATTTGGGCCCACTATCGAAATACGAGAACTGGGGACAAAGAACTTGACTGAAGGCTAAAAACTCGTTGCACAACCTTCTGTACATGCTACGCGTTCAGACACTTTTACTTAACTTGTGGATATGATATCTCAGAGGCAGATGCCCCGTCAATAAATCCACATTAATATCAAGTTCAAGCTTAAGGTTAGTAAGAGCTTGTTCAGTCTACAATCTAGCGCTTTGTGTAAAATATTGAAGTCAGTTAGAGCGTCTGAGTTTGGTTAAAGGTCTGATAGCTCCACCATCGAGCAGAAATATCAGAGAAGATCTCTTGGAGCTATCACAAAATGAGATTTCTACAAAAGTTGTTCGCAACCTTGTGATTTCTTCGGCACTGCTGGAGAAAATAATTTTTATAAAGTTTAATATTGACATCATCGGTCTCATAAACCGTCATAGCTTCAAGTCTTGAAAATCACGTCACTAATGGAAGATATTTGAAATTGAATACCATTTCGTTCATCTAGAAACCAGTCTCACTCTTGCCAGCTCTTTCCAGCAGTTGCTTCTTTGAGCCGAGCAAGCAATTGAAATGTTTAGTCTGCTCTTATGGTACAGAAGCTAGCAGAACAACAACTTCTTATAAGATGGGATTACCAGATAAAAAAGATAGTAACTTTTTTAGAGTACCGAGTAGAGTAGAAGACCAGCCCAACGCCAAGATGTAAGGCGACAATGCCATTGTTCAATGAACAAAGCCACTGTGTTAGATCAGCTTTAAAAGTTTTCGACGGAGTACTGGCCAATGAAAGCCGAAGAAGAAGAGCGACACTTGCACTTTGTTGGAAAAAAGGCGGAACTTTATTCACTTAGTAACTCCAACTGACGGCAAAGTAAAGAAATGTCTAGTGCGCTGTTACTGAATCGGTTGAAATAAAGTAAACGTGCGTAGGAATTAAAAAGAAGGAGAAATAAGCAAAATTTTGAAATTCAATCAAAAGGATCCTAAAACTCTTAAAGTCGCATAATATAAGAAAATCTAGTGAGCCTCACCTAATAATTGAATAAATATCGATTAGTCGACAAAATACTTTCCAGAAGAAAGAATAAATCATTTTCTTTTTGTTTGGATTTCAACACTCTTAACACAGCTTTACATCCTACAAGATATTTAAGAGCATAAAAATCATGCCACATGCACTAACGGCGATTACACAGAACTTGAAATTGTCGGCATAGCCGACGGCTAACACACCATTATGTCCTTGTGCATGCAGCAGTGTCTTCGCAAGTAGAAGAAGCACCAGCAGCAGCAGCCGACAGCAGTAAAAGTGAAAATGTTTGCTTACACATGCATGCATATGACGATATGACGATGTGTAGATGTATGTATGGTGGCATGTGCAGCCACTTGGCAGCAAGTATGAGAAGGCAAGAAAATTTGCTATCTTCTATAACAAAGCAAATATTTTTATACTCTCAGCCGCACACATACGCATAAATGCATACGTCTTCTATGTACATATGTGCATATGTATGGGTATGCACTTTCATGAGACTTGCATTTTGCACATTAGCATACATAAACATTTTATTAGATACATACATACCAACAGAGAATTTACATATATTTGCCATTGAGCGCAGCTAGCTAACGGTAACTCATTGTGAAAATGTTAGTTTAGGCTATTGTTGCCACAAGTGCATCATGCAAACTGGTTATTACATGCACTTACACTATTCTAAGTTGGCAGAATGCAGACAATTTTCTTTGGTTATGCTTAAGGGCATAGTTAGGAGGCGAAAGGAAATAGCAGATTTACTAAGGAAGAAATATGAGGAAGTACATATATGTACATATACTACATCTGTATGTGGGATAATGTAAGAATGCCATAGTTTCTTGTCTCCTTTTCTTTTTTTGTTGCATACTTTTGTTGCCTTTAATAGCATTTTAATGATTTGCTGTATACATACATAGGCATATATGCTGCTCTGTAAGTGATTTTGAGATTTGCTTTGAAACTTCGGACAAAGGCATTCAAGGGCACTTAGTCAAGGAAAAGGTCGTAAAATACACGTGTGTCACTTTGCTCGTAATAAACTGGTAACGAAACACTTATTAAAATTGTCAAAAAAATATTAATAAGCATTTTTTGTAGTATTATATGACGTAGACGTTTTTTTAGTATTTTTCATATCTATTTTCTATTGAAAAATATGCAACCGATTTTAGACTATGCCGAGCCACCAATCGGATTCAGAAAAAAGCACAGCATGATACAGAGGAGGTCCTAAGTATAGGAACACACAAAGATCAGTCTCTGAAAGAGAGCTAGCACTACTGCCCTGCCGCGATCCTTGACGTTGTTCAGGCATTTGGTAAAGTTTGGCTGCATAAACTACTACGAGTATACAAGATAAACGTCATGTTTTCCTTAAAAATTTGTGCTGCAATTAAAAGCTTTCTCACTGGCAGAAAAGTTGCTGGTTCGGTAAAAATGTTGCAATATAAAATCCTTTGAAATACAATATTTGCTGGTGATCCACAATAAAACTTCCCCACATTACTTTTAGCGGCGTCAGTATGAACCCGATTCCAAATAGAAGTCGATGCAGTGGCCACCAAAAATAAAAATTCAAAGTGGAAAAGTTGGCGTCGATAGCGAGGGAATAACATTAATTGTTTACTTGGCTGGGTTAACTGACTTGAGTCAGACTGATGAGGCGGTCGCCCGAAAAAGATTGCCATGTCTGTTAGCACGCGGAGCTCGGGGGATGCCTCAAATGTTACTGAATTTACAGAAATTGATAATCCACCATACAATCCTTTTTGTCATATTTGAAAACGGAGTTACGGAAACGAAGATTTTCCAGCGATAATGAGATGAAAGCTGCTATCGAAAACAATTTTAAATAAAAACCTAAGGAATATAAAGTCATTAACGATGTAGAAAGTGTATCTTTTACTTGAGGTGAAAATAAAAAACATAAAAATTACACACTTATTTCATTAACTTCTTTAGGTGGCCTTATTATCAATAGGCCCTCGTATGTATCGTATTGAAGTAAATCGAGCCAAAACTACGTTATTTTCGAACAGGTCAGTTCCTGTTCCACTTCCCAAAACTTTAATTTTTTTTTACAAACCTTCCAGGGAACCATAAAAACCAGGAACCAAAAGATCGGCCAAAATTTCATATCAATCGATCGGAAACAAATCGATAAATGCGGACCTTTACAAACGAATAGTATATTTTTATATATGAGAGAAGAGCACCAGGCCTCCGATTTTTCTGGGCTTACAGAAATTTTTTGCCACTCAGCTTGGCCCTTATAGACGATTATAATGTTTACATAAAGATAAAATGGCTTGATCCTCGAGATCCAGATAATTTTAGAATTTTCTTTTTGTTATAAAAAGAATGTGTACATTTTTCCTAAAAAAAAATATTTTTTTTTTGGTCCACGCTGCAATTTTTTGACTTAATTTTTCGCAAAATTTATTCCTTTAAATAGTAGAAGATTTTTTAAAAACAAGATTACCAAAATTATCACCAAAATTATATGCGAATACGTATATAAGTATATATAATTCATTCATTTCTTTTGGAATCCTTAAAAACATATATTTATGTTTGCAAACTGAATCTAAAAAATTTCTCCTTATTTGTGGATCGAAATTTTTTGCAAAATATTTTCGCCATCACACAACTCAACCATAACAATTTCACATGCGTACATACACATTTAAAAGTGGATTTCAATATTATAGTGGAGAATAGATAGCCAACAAGGTGTTAAAATTTACTTTTCATCCACATGACACTTATGATTTGTAGACACTTTCGCCTGTCGGCATAACTTATACCAAACTATGTTATGTGCTATGCTATGCACTGCTGTTACATACAAATATTTGTGTTGAAGCATGTGTGTGTGTGTGGGTGAGTATGTGTGTTTTTGCTTGTGTTTGTATTTATATGACATTTGTACTTGCATTAAAAATGTGAATTCTGTGCAACATGAAAAATGTAGTGGGCGAAGATATTTTTTTCTTCTTACTCTCTCTTACTTCTTCCTGCCTCTTTTGTTGTGGCTGAGACCTTACTTACCTTGTTATGAGTTGGTTATGAATTTTTTACTCTATGCTGTGACACCCAATCTTGTTTTTTTAATACTTCCTTTTGCAATTTTACGAGAATTTTTTTGCTGTTATTCATTGAGCTCTTGAGTTATGAGAAAATTCTTCGAGCAACATTTTAACTTTTATTTTGAATTTTATTTTAATAATTCATTCCATTTATGTTTATCTGGACCCCGTTCAAAGTGCGTTTCAATGCACTATCCAAAATCCACTAGTTCTCGATATCATCCAATAAGAAGAAGTCCAGTCAGTGTGAAGAAGCACAAGCCCTCTATAAAATTGTATCTGCTAAGCTTCAGCTACAGTTTGATCTTCGCTGTAGTTCCTTATTTTAGACCATAATAGTGAATTTTCCTGTCGTTCTTTCTACGACTGGGAGTGATTCCTTATTAAGCATCAGCACCGACTGACTATTTAGGCAGCTGACTTGCTCCACTTTTACCATTTTCCAGTAATTGTAGGTAATTTTTGCATACTTTATGCGTGTTAGAGCCCTAAAAGTTGTATCGAAAACCAGACTCTGATCTTCAACTTGGATGGTGGGTTCTTCAGATTTATCGCTTTGAGTTTAATAATATATCTTCCCAAGGTTACCTTAGGTTAATTTGTGTAGCCTCCCTCATATTATATGTCTCCTTGGAATCAGTATATGTGACTATAGTATAACGGTGTTAAAAATTATATGTGAATACCTGAAGGCTGACATCTACCAATTTGGCTTTTAACCATTACTTTCGAACCCTGAGTGCCTCTCTATCCCTCAGCCTTTCTGTAGTATTACTAGCAGTAAATTCTAGTTTTTCACTTTTGTGGGTCGGAACCCCGGCCGACTTGTTCCTTTTCAGAGTAAAGTTGTACCCAATCCATTGCATTTTCATTAGAATTTCCTTGACCTTGTCTGTTGTTGTATTCTGCTATAGCTGAAAAGTTTAATGAGCAACTCTGACTCGCGAAAATTTTTGAGTTTCTACTCTTTCGTAATTTCCTTAATTGCCAGCCTCTCTGCGTTATGGGACCTTAGTTGCGCGTGTGTGTGAGAAGAGGTTAGTTCATTTCAGGAGATATCCGCTGCAATTAGTTAGAACCTTGCATATGTCCTGTTGAGTTTCCGTTCGAGATTTGGCCACTTAAGTGCTGTGCGAATTTTTAGCGCAGAAGCGTTTGACAGTTTGATTCAGCCTCACCAGATCAAGAACCATTTCCATATGACAGATCTATTGTACAATATAATTGCACAGTAATGATATCTGACCTTATCAGGATACTTCGTTACTTTGAAGCTGGTATTATCCCCAAAATACACCTCTTTTTTAATATATTAAGCCAAATTAGTATGCCCGAAAGTCCTGCTATCTACATTTGGCTTAATTATTGTAATTGCGAATGGTGCGCCATCAGGTGGCAATACAAGGCTACTTTATCGTACTCGTACAATACATATATTTTCGTACATATTTTATATTTAAAATATTATTTAGATCTATATTCCAAACCTTAAGTGACCGTTAGACAAGTGCTCATTGTGGCATATTTATGAGATAGAGTCAGTAATGGAACCACAAAGTGTGCGCATATAAAGCAACATATCTGCACGCAAAACATTTGTGTATATGTGGTTCACTACTTTGCACGTAGAGGTAGTCAAAATAGTTGGAAGAACTTTCTGCTAGCATCGCCCGACGTGCACTCACACACACTTACTGAAGTTTATCCCTAAGTCATAGATACTTCAAAGTGAATTTGAAATATGATCAAAATATAAAGTGTGTGTGTGCAATATATATATATGTATACCTATGTACTCCTATGTGCGTATCACGCATAAGTTTTTCGGTTACAGTTATGCCAAATAACGTAAAAAGTAATTTACACTCATACACTGATATACTCATATCAAAAAATATTTATAGTGGTTATAAGTATTCATATTAATATCACATACACATACATATTTGTGCACTCCACTCTGCTCTCTAGATTGTGAAATACAAACATTAGCCATTATAACCTAAAAATATTGCATAAAAGCATTAGCTGGAAAGTATGCGAAAGGTCGAGTGGTTTCATAGTGGAGGTAAAGAGGATATAGAAAATGAAAGTATGAGAAAGTATTTCAAATTCTGTGGTAAATATGATACTTCGAGAAAAATAAATTTAAATGTAGATAAAATAAATGATTGCTTCATATACATATACTCACATAATGGCTATAAATTCAAATGGAGATTCATTCCGTATTTCTTACACTAATATTAATCTCGATTTATTGGATATTTTTCCCAAAGTGACTTTTAAAATAAATTGACATACGTAATATTTAATTACAGCTGTTGAATACAGTTGTATATGAATTTATTTATTTACTTATTTTTTATTGTTTGTGTTCCGAAATGAACTTACAACGCAAACTAAGTAAATCGAATAAAATTTTCAATTTCAAAATTTACTAAATTACCGTTTCAGTACAAAATAATTAATTTGGACAGAAAGCAAAAATATATGCATATATAATTTAGAGAGATTATAAAAATAGTTGGAAGTATTGAAAAATGTTGACAGAAATTTTAACGAAAAAAATGGAATATTTATTTTCAGTAAATAAATTATTTTTATATTTTCACAAAAAGCTTTGTTCAAGGCATTTAGTTAGACAGCTATTAAAATTAAATACTTTTAAAATTTTTTTTTACACAATTCATTAAATACTGGATCTGTTTTACTAACAGCCTAACAGTATTTGTGTATATCTGAGCCGTTTTCAAACTTTTAACATAACTTCTTTTTTAAAGAACACAGGTTCTAAAGAACATGGCAGGTGAGGTTAGATCTCCCAATTCAGCATTACCAGGTAGCTCTTGACCGTTTCAGCTGTGTGGATCCAAACCTGACCAGGTAACCAAAGTCACCTTGTCATACCCTTTGGTAAGTTCTGGCAATTTTACGGCGATTACAATTTGCATCGACGGTTTCGCCTGATTTTAGCTGCTCATAAACCACAATCGTCTGGCTCTACCGTATGAAATGGGTTCAAGGCCGAAAATAGCTTGAGCGGTTAGAAAGCGTAATAATTTTAAATCAGCACAGAATAAAAAATGATACCTCAGAGTAAAACTTATCTATCTTTATATCTCATGCATGACTTTTGTCAGTCTTACTTCAATTTTAAATACACAGTGAAGCGACTACCAAATAGCGATCCCTAGTTTTGTTTAGATCAGGGAAATCGAATAATAGACCGAAAATCGTTTCTTACTCCATGCAACCTCAGAAAGGGATTTTAAGCATTTTTTTGAATTATGCTTAATTAGAGGCTCGAAAAAAGTGTGCCCGAAAATTTCTATTTGGTTACACCTCGCCTATCCAGCTCATTCAAGGAGGATATGTATCCGTGGCAAGGAAGAAATCTAGTGAAGATATCTGAGAGAGAGAGAGTTAGACTATGCTACGAATTTTTGAATGTTGGGCTCCGTATTTCAATGGCCTCCATGCATTTCAAATTTATTTAATTTTTTTGCGTAAATAAATATAGGTTTTGAAAATATTCTATTGATTTTTTATTTGATAATCGTATCTGCAAATTGTGTTTAGATGCATAATAAATACAAAACACTTTTTTGTACTCAATTTGGTAATTTTTCCTCTTCATTTTTTATACTCATTAAAAAGATTTCTTGAAATTGAATTTTTCAAATAAAGATTTTTAATCTTTTTTAGCATCCTGTGGAGCGAAGTCTCATGCAATATGTTAAACGAAAAACGGTTGGTGGTTGAAATATATCCTGGGCTTATATAGTGCTTTTTTTATTACAATAACTCTTAACAATAACTACTCCCTTTCGAATTGGTCTACAGAAATTTGGTAGTGCTAGTCTAAATATATAAGTTTTCACTTGAAAAAATACTAATTTTTCATGACACGTACTTGGAGCTGGTAAAACCAAAACTTTAATAACAATTTATTTTCTATTTTCATTTTTCACAAAATAGTGAAATATTAATAATACAAGTATATTTGCTCGGTTCGGCCTACATATCCAACTCATAACATTCCAGTTTCCTTGACAATTAATACCAAAAAAATTTCCAACTTTCTTCAAAACAAACGGCATTTATCTTACGCACTTAAAAACAAAGAAAAAAAAAAACGGAGAATAAAACAGAACAGCGGAGAAAATGCGTCGTTGTGAACAACAGAGAAAGAAATTTGCAATTTCACTCGTAATAAAAAATCACTTTCGGCAATAGAACAAGCGTAGCAACAACACAGCGATTTGTTTATTCGCCCTGGGTATATTACGAATAAATTTACAACTGTTTTTATTTCACGCAAACGCTTACTACACTTTTATTTCTGCTAATTTTGTAACCTTTCTAACGCTTCCTCTCCTACTTCTTCTTGATTTTATTCTATTCTTCTTCCTCTTTTGTTATTGGTACGCATATCGCCTGGGCGATAAAATATGTCGAAACAACGGAAATTCCGGTACTGACTTGTTGTAACCCATCAATGCTAGTGGAGTTATATACAGACCTACATATGAAAATTTATACCTAATAGTCAATGCTAATCCCTTTACTTAGGGCAATTAATTAAATCCGATAAGGCGAACAACAATAACAATAGCAATAAAGTCCGATAGAAAGGAAATGAAAAATAAAACAAACAAAATTTTAGAAAAGAAAACACAAACAATAGTAAAACATGCACAACATTAACAACGACACAACGAACATTAAGGAGCACGCGAAGGCGACGCAACAACAAAATATGCATGGAAAATGGGTAAGAAAATAAACCAGCGTCAGCGTGAGATAGACATGGTCAAATTCTTCAAAAGTCTCTTCGACAATTTACGACTGTAGCTATGCGAGGGGCTTTGACGAATACTTACATATACCAAATAGTATAAAAAAGGAATTTAACAAAAAGGGTTGCCTTGCTAAAATTAAAAAAAAAAGTTAAAATTGTAAGGAAGCAGCGGCAGTGGAAAGGAATTTGCATAGCGTGCATGCTGATGTTACGGCACGCAATAAAGGAGTGTCAAATGACTACACATTTATTTACTTTTTTATGTGACGTAGCAGGTAGCAGCGGTTGCTTGGGAGTTGAAAATGTTGCTTAGACTTATTGCAGACTTTTGTCTTTGAGTCTGTAATTTTATATTCTGAATGACTTAACAATGTTATGAAAATTCATGAGATTATTTATTTATAGATAGAACCTTTTAAAATACATCCGACCATTTTCAAATTTTTAATACGTTAATTAGCCAACTTTCTTTCATTGGAGTTTACTTTTCATGTGGTGGATTCCAAACTCTACGCACAACCGCATGGGATTCGCCTTCCCACTTTAGCTCGCCTCCAAACGAATGTTTTTTGGCTACCTAGGGTATACTTGGTCTAAGGCCGGAAGTCGTGACCTGATTAAATCATATGCCAAAGAATCGTTTCTGGGCACTCCCAGACATGGCCCTATCTCCCTTACCTAGTAAGTCAACCATTGACCAGATATTCATTATGCGCCAAATCTTGGAAAATATCCGTGGAAAGAGAATCGACACGTCGATTTTAAAACCGCTTTCAACAGCACGAGCTGCCCTTACACCGCTATGTCTGAACTTGGTATGCCCGCAAAACTTATACGGCTGTGTAAACTAACTTCGAGCAATACTTAAGGCTCCATCAGCATCGGGAAGGACCTCTACGAGCCATTCGATACCAAACGAGGTTTCAGACAAGGTAACTCTTTGTCGTGTGATTTCTTCAACTTGATGCTGGAGAGAATATAAGAGCTGCAGAGCTGAATAGAGAAGGTAAAATCTTCTTTAAGAGTGTAGAACTTCTGGCGTACGTCGATGATATTGACATTATCGGCCTCAACAACCGCGCCGTTAGTTCTGCTTTCTCCAGGGTTGATAAAGAAGCGAAGCAAATGGGTCTGGTCATCAATTAACAGTCATCACATTTGCGACTCGGTTCCTACGTCAGTGTTGATAGTCATAACTTTGAAGCCGTATATAACATCGTCTATCTAGGGCCAGTATTAACACCAATAAAAATTTCAGCAGGGAAATTCAACGCAGAATCACTCTTGCCAACAGGTACTACTTTGGACTGAGCACGAACGAAAACCAAACTCTACAAGCCCCTCATCGTTCCCGTCCTGCTATATGTGCGTAAGCATGGACGATGAGAACATCTGATGAGTCGGCTGTAGGAACCTGATCTCCTGTTATATCCCTCTACCGATATTTTGTATTAGCTTTATTCTTCATCAGCAGGGTAGATAATCATTGTTCCGAAATAAGCTTGACCAACTTTATTTCATCGCATCGCCACAGATGAAAATAGATACTTAAGGCCTGTGGTAAATTATGGTACACCTTTACTTAGGTTCTAACAGATTTATTGTAGTTGTGCATCAAAAAGCTATCAAATTTAGAAATTTTTGTAGTCTAAAAATTAATAAAAATTAATTAAAAAAAAATAAGATTGTAGTAAATCGTGTATTCTTTCGTCAATTGCATATTTCAACCTCAAAGCTATATAAATTGATTTAATATACAGTTATAATTCATGTCTTAGCAACAACTTTGCTTGTATTTCATAACAAAAGTTTAACTGTTTTTTATTTGAATATGTATTTTATTAGAAAACTAATATTATTCTTTTTTTCTTTCTCCCTTTTACCATTTCGCAGGGTGCTACAGGGAAACCAGGTGAACGCGGTGCCCCCGGCCCGAAAGGTGACCGCGGCGATAGGGGTGATCCTGGCTCCCGTGGACCCGAGGGTCTGCAAGGCCAAAAAGGTGAGCCTGGCGTCGACGGTATGCCCGGCGTACAGGGCGTACCTGGACCGCCGGGACCGCCAGGTTTGCCCGAAACTTATGATGTAAGTATGACTTCATGAAATTGATAGAAAAAATTTAAGTTCAGTAATTTTTATAATTTATTAATTATTATGTACTCAATATACATATATATATGATGCTCAAGTTTATTAGTTTTTACTGTTTTGGAAATAAAAAATATTTGCCTAGCAAAGCCATTACGAGTATGCAATTTCTGTTTTCAGTTCCATTCTTTTTTTTAACTAATATTTTAATTTTTTTATGGTTTTTTATATTTATATTTTTTTTTCTATTTCTTTGTACATTTCAAGCCACCTATTAAAACACGCTTTGTAATTAAAAAATTTTCTCGGCCCCATTACTATTTAAAATTTAATTAAACGCAGTTGTTGCACCTGCTCACATAATATTTATTTCTCATATTGTAAGAAAAAAATGAAACTTGTCTAACATTTTGCCTCTTAGGTATCAGAGGCGGAATATTTGAGTTCCTAATTATAATGTTGCCAACTTACGAATATCCCTTAGCTAGGTGCGCGCATAATTTTTTATATACTTTTGGGCTTTTCATAAAACATCGTATTAACTGTAAAGTGTTCGGTATATAAGTATGTATTAAAGAAACACTAAGGTTCGCGTATAACAAGGGCGTAGCACAATTTAATTTTATGGTCATTAATTTATTACAAAACCTTGAGGAACGCGCACATGCCTTTACAAATAAACATGATCATAAGTCCTTAACTTTATATTTCAACAGTACACAGCCCATTATTTTCTATAGCTCATTGTCATTACTGTCATCTTTAGTACTGGAAAAGTGTGTGAATATATGTTTCGATAGCAGAAAGTTTGTCGTAGAAGTGACAGAATGACTGTACAACAGTTGGCTTAAAAGAGATTGGTTTCCCATGATTTATGAAGACTTTAGAGTAAGAATTCTTTTAAAGCAACTTAAAGACTACACACCGTTCAATGAGCCCCTGTAATTTGGGAAATTTAATATTTTTCATTATTTCCAATTAATCATACAAAAATTCACGTATTAATTTCACTCTGAAATTTATTGGTAACGAAATAAATTATTATTTTTGCTAGTATATGTAGACGATATAAATATTTATATCTAGGTCTTTAGCTGCTCGGTATCATTCATGTACAACTCTGTTATCCAGTTTGATGATCATCAGACATTTATGTATGTGTATATCTAAAAGTAAACAAAAGTAGACACATTTGACAGTGCATTTATAGATAAACATTTGCATTTAATAACTGAAATGTGTCCAAGACACCTTGTCTAGCACGAGTACACACTCTATGTATCTTAGACGGTGAAAACATATGTATATCTACGTACCCACAAATGGTAGATGGTGCATGTCCATTGTACATGCTGCCAAATAGCTGCTCATAAGCCAAACATTCATGTAAACAGAGTACTAAATGCGAGTAAGCGTAAGCACGTGGCATTTACTATTAGATTTACTCAAACACAAACACGGATTCCTGTGGACGTGCAGACGTTTAGACATTACCACATTAACTGTTAGCACCGTTGAGTTACCACTACACTAAAGAGACTATGTTACAATGATGGTTTCAGATAATTACTTTGTTGCCCATGCAGAGGAGTGTTCTTAAATGTTTACCTTTCAGAGTAGCAATGCAAAGCAGATATTTAAAGGTCCACAAATCGATAAAGGATTCTCTGTCAAATTAGCTTAAAATTATTGGGTTGTTCCTAAAGAAACAGCCGAATGTTAAAAGAAAGTAAATACAAATTTTTTTTAAATTTCATAATGAACTTTAATCAATTAGAAGCGGCCAGAATAACTCAGTCGTAAGGCTGTCATATCACACCAGGACAATGCTAGACTGCACACGTCTTCGGGCACTCGCCAAAAACTGAGAGACTCTGGCTGAGAGCTCTTCACGTATCCACTATATAGCCCTAACCTGGCAAACTGCCATTTGTTTCATCTTCTTTACAAAACTCATTAATTCCCACCAAACTGAGAGCATAATTTTCTTTTGGTGAATATCTGCCTTTAATGTGGTTTGTGTAGCTTAATCATGGGACCGTGGACGTGGCCTATCTTTGAGTGAAAAATCTCCCAAAATGAATTTGGCAAAGCAACTTCTACACTGTGTTTCTTTTAAGGCAAATTATGCAACTTTTCCGCCAAATATGCTAAAATATTCTTTTGCGGGCTCCGTAAAAGAATTGGCGACAAACAAACAAATACAAAAAATTACCCGTACCTGTTTTCTAATTTTATTTTATTTAATTTAATTAAATTTTTTTATTATATTTTATTTTATTTTATTTTATTTTATTTTATTTTATTTTATTTTATTTTATTTTATTTTATTTTATTTTATTTTATTTTATTTTTTAGTTTAGTTTTTTTTAAGAATTCTATTTGGTTTTATTAGATTTTATTTCCTTCATTTTTTTTTACTGGTTTTTCTATCTTCTTTGTTCCAAGAGGGTCGTATGCACTTTATAAGTTACTTGAAAATTAAACGTTGGTGGTTTTGTTCACCGAAGAGAAGCACCTTTCTTGTGGCTTTCATGTTTAAATTTGTGGTTTTAGGCATTTATTGTTATCAACATGATTGCATGCTGCCGCGCACACGACCAGCGCTAAACAAAACGCAAAATAACAGAATAACTAAATGCGCATTAAAGGAACATGCAGCGCTAACTTGTATCGCATTCAAAATAAAAAAAAAAACAAACAAAACGATTTAAACGAAAACGGCAGAACTGTAGGTTTAAGTGACCGCAGCAAACGACTAAAGCAAAATATAATGTGTGTAAGTGTAGAAAAAGCTAAAACGAGGAGACATGCAAAGCATACATTGAGGCGTTGCCTGTTGGTTTTCTCCAGAAAACGCATTTAACTAAGTTAGCATATGCAAATATTGTTCCAAACATTTACTTTCAATTTAAATTTGTCAGTTTTTTTTTCATTTTTGTTTACTTTTTCGCAACCATTGCCAGCAGCCACGAGTAGGGCCACGCAATGACTTGACACGGGAAAATTTTTAATTTTGTTTATTTACCTTTGAAATTTTTTTGTTGCTTTTTATTGGCAGTGCGCTTAAGGTATTTGTTGTTCTTTACAAAAATGCTGTTACCTTGCTGATATACTTTATTGACTGCTTAGCTACGGGAAAGTCGGCAGGTCGGTTTTTACCTGACGCCACATTTCGGTTTTCGAAAAATTGCTGGAAATAATTGACTTCTTTAAATCTCTTTTAAAATCTCTTTCAATGTTTTCCTGTACTTCTTTTCTTTTATAAATTACTTGCAAAGCAGTTACATTTCCCTACCACAAATACGATTTAATTTGCATTCAAACCCTTTCTGTCTATTTTAATAATTTTCGCCCTTTGTCAAAGTGTCCAAAATGAGGTCAGCACACGCCGTAACCGCTATCAGTTCATTTACAATTTTTTCTTAAGTCTTTATTCTGCTAGCGTCAGCGTGTTTTTATTAACCTTTTTTCTTACTTTTTTGTTAGAAGAAGAAAATTATAATTAAAAATCTCACTTCATTTTTTCTTCGCTTATGGAAAGTTTATGGAAAGTTAATTGTGCGGCAGCGCAGATTTTCTCCACTTTAGCTTTACTTTTAAATTTTTTTATTTTGTGTTCTTTTTGTAATGAAAGAACTGCCTACTGTGCTAATTTTATTTTATTATTATTACCGTCACAACCCATTTCACCTGCGCGCATTCATTAACTCAGCAGGATAAATGTATGAGAGTGTGTGGGTGTGTCTTAAGCTTGTTATCGCAGGCCGCCATCAGTCGTTAAGCGTTGACAAACAAACTGTAACAGACAGCAGGTAAATAGAAGAAAAAGACTGAGGTAGACATAGCAATTTACGTGCTGATCAACAAACGGAAGAATGAGATTCGTGTACAAAGTTAAGCAGGAAAAAATTAAAATGGGTTTTTTGGTTGCCTTACCATATATCTGAAGCAAATTTTAAAAATTTTATATATAATTTTTTATTTATTTTCCTTTTATTTTATTTTTTTTTTTTTGTGGTGGCTTTTTACCTTTCTGCTCATATTTCACTGGTTTTTACTCTCCCTAATTTTCGGCAAAATAAGCAAAAAGAAAATGGGGAAAAAATCTAGAAAAACTGCACTCGCTACATTAATTACACACCATCGCATTGACCGCAAAGCCACAGCTGGGTCATTGCACTCATTTTCACAAACGAAATAACGCTTTTGCCAACCAACTGTGGTCATTAAGTGGCTATAAATGTAGCTGCTGCAGTGATATCATAAGAGAAAAGGAAGAGAGAGAACAAATTTGTAGAGCAATATAAATGTATGTAATGTGCCTAACTGTTTTTTTTTTTTTTTTTTTTTTAGAAAATATTTGAGTTTATTGTAATGATGAACATTTTAATGCAGCACTAGCTTCCTTAATAGCTTTATGTATGCACATAAATACATACTTAACTGCAACTATGCAATGCTATATTTTTTTTTTTCAAATATTTTGAAGTTAATTATAGAGGCCTGAATAATTTTATATCACAAAATCATTTCATTCATGTGTTCTGCGTAAAATTTCTTGCTTTTTTTCTACAAAACATTTGATTAATCTAAAGCCTTAAACCAAGCTGAGTATTCTGAGGCCCCAAAATTTATTGGGCATTATTTTGCAGTAGCATAAAATGTTTTGTACAGAAGTTGAAACTTCTTCATGGAGCCTGTTGCAAGAAGCCAACTGCATAGAAGGAATATCCCCTTGAGTAATTTCCCCTAACCTTTGCCAGATACACTTTACTCTACTCTTAAGTAATGCCCAAAAAGCCATCTTGGTTGTTTGTATGATTTCGATGAGTTATAACTCAATCCCTTGTTTTCTTCATTTGGAAATGAACTTTTTAAGTAGCAATGTGGATTTTATTTAAATAAAATCTAAGCAAATATTTTTCTTCTTAAAATTTAAAGCATTTTTGATAAAATTTATTTATTTTCTTCCCACACCACAAAAAGTGTTAGGG